GAATAACAATATTTCCTGTGAAGCACAGCAAATGTTACTTCTGGCTTAATCGTTTTCGTCTACGAGTCCAGAAAGGTGATGAAAGCAGCAAGTTGCAGTCTGTGAAGCACAGCCATCCACCGTTCTCATCTTTCTGCCTGCTTGGGAACATTTCTTGGGCTGGTGAGCTTATGTATTGCAAAACGTGTGTCTCATTTTACCCACGATGGTTGCTTGTAACAGCCATAATTTCGTAGATGTTCATATTTGCAAGTTGTATAATTGTTGGGGGTTGCTGCAGCCCTACTGCATGTGTGGCTTTCGTACTGGTGACAATCTGCTCTTGTTATTTGCGCAGAAATTCGACTAGTTATCGTCTCATACCCTGGTCATTCGATCCTCCCTTGGTAGAAGGCGTGAGCAACTAATATGTAATACTCTTTGGAGAGAATGTGAATTGGGTAGGTGATAATATACAAATTAATCAATTTAGTGACATATTATGTTACCACATCCTACGTTTAAGGTAGTATATTATCCAAGAAGCCCACTGACAACAAGAAAGGAATTTTAGTGACAGCCCTAAAATTTACTGTTATTTGTGTTTAATGGGCGAGCTGCGTGTTGTTTATCTTTTAATCATTTGGGATTGAATTGGCAGCGTATAACCTGATTTTTGTAGGTGTTGTATCGTCACTGTATTTCTTTTTCTGTCTTGTGTGTTGGCGCTTATTATTCGATAGTTATCAAATCATTTCTGTCTCGAATACAATGTTTCCCCTGCGCATTTTGTATTCGGTTTATCTAAACTAACTATCCGCATGAGGAACTTTAAATGAAAACACGCTTATATTTTATATGCTGCATGCGGATGTTCCAACTTTTACATCCTGGCAAAGTCCTTTTATAGGATCTATGGGCTCCTTTCTCATGGTAGGGCTTGGGCTGAGATAAATACAAGAAAATAAACTTTGTTGTGATCCTCATCAATCGTGATCCTGCTATTACAAGTGTGCATTGTCAAAATTTCAAATGAGTGTAGAGGTTGGAAGATATGCAATTCATCATTTGCTTCATAGTACCCAGAGTTTATCTTAATCAAGTTTGGTGATCTAACTTATCGTATTTTTGCTTGCGAAGTTTGTTTGCTTGTCTTCCCAGTCGGCCTTCACGCTCATATCATAATCAGGAAATTTTTTGGTAGATTTTCAACTGCATTAGTTTAATGTGTCGAGTGGAAACAATCCCAGGAGAGTGTGTGTGAGCATGTGCTTGCTATTCTGTGGGAGGAATGAAGTAAATCGCTGACTGAGGAGGATAGTGCTTGAGGATTTGTGTTTGTATTTGTTTCCTTATCTCATCTATTTCTGGGTTGCGGGCATTGCATTTTTATCAGTTAAGCTTTGGAATCTGTTTATGTACGGGCGCTTTATAATGCGTATGGAAGTTTACTTTTGTCTCTTCATACTCTACAACCTGTGAGACCGATTATGTGAGAAGATGTTAATAAAAATGATCTTGCTTCTCATTTCATGTAAAGGATTTGATAAAAGGGAAGATATTCAATTAATACGGCGTTGGCACAAGATTTTTCTACTTGAGTGTTTAATACACTTGGACTGGTGGTGAGGGTGTGAATCGTATGAATCGTCATAGTGTGCGGGCATAGCTTGCTCATCTTTCGATTATCTGACTTTTTTCGAGACACGTTTAAATCTAGCTTGCACATACCATGGCGTCAGTTGTATTCGATCATCGTCTTAGTTGAGATAATTGATATAGCCTAATTTTTGCTCGTATAAATGATAGTCACAAAAGGTGTATACATTGGCAATAGTAATGTCGCGTAGTAAGTCCTCTATATAATTTAGATACTGGCTTATCATACAGTGTTTCGAACTCCAAATGTAATTGATTGTGGATATAGTAGAGGATGGCATTCCCAAATGCAAAGCTATCTATATAATTTAAGTGTCAACTTACAAATTCCTTTCTTGTGCTTACGAGTTCTCTATTCCTTTAGTTACATTTAATCCGTGTTCATATACAGATTAGCTGAAGAATTGCGGTTTCGGCGATACAACTAAGCAGATCTCGTGTCATTGCATGGTGCGTTAGGGTGGCCTCAACTAATGGGCTAGAGCAGTCTGAGAGCTTGTTTTTCATTGGGATTTTCGCGCAGACGGTACGAGCCTAATATTCGTGCAATTAAACAAATAGTAGGCTTCCTAGACGAGAATATCAACGTTTAGTGTAGTAGAGGTTAAGTGGATTCTACTCTCGGGATATCTTGAGTAGGTAGGAGTGAGGTCGGGGGAAGGTTGCCATGGTGCTTGGATTGGGGCAGGGCAGTTGTTGGAAGTTGGAGAGAATTGGAGAGGTGTTGGTGAACAGGTAGTAGACTACATCAAAGTTTGGCAGCTGGGCCCCCTTGAGATGTAGGTTGAGCAGTCTTTTTGTCAAGGAAGTAGCTGTTGGTCTTGCGTGGGTTGGAGAGAAACATATATTCTCTTTAGACGGGTACTGCTATTAGTAAATTTACTGACTTTAGTAAGAAACAGGTAGACATCTCCTGCTATACTGTGGCATACGGTAGTCATGCGTGCCTAAATTCCCTACTTATTGTAAAATCTCGTGTCTCTTTGATCTATATTCGTCTAGTAGTTTTCTGTTTTATTTGTAATGTAATTAATAAGGAACTATTTTGATATGATTATCTAATTATTGAAATTGTTTTTGGAATGAGGGCTTAGATTTTATTGTAATCTCAAGATTACATGTATTCTTTGGTATTGTCTCGATTTGTGGTTTGCCTATTTCTCATAAATTTCTTTATTTATTCAACGATTCTTTATTATTTGTTTGGGTTTTAGTTTTCTACTTAGTAGTAATGAGTTTTAGTTAGATTAGAGACTCGATTCTACGTAAAGTTGCGGATAGAAGAGATATGGATGTTTCTCTGTAATAGTAAAGTTATTAGCTTATTTGAGGTGTTTGTAATATGCAAATCTTGACCCTCTTTGTGTATGGGGGGCCATTATTATTGTAGTTTGCAATATTTGGATGAACAGTCTGCATGGTTTTTATTCTTAAAGGCATTGCTGAGGAACCCTTTACAAAAAATTTATGACATTAAATTGTATCGCAAGTTGGTCGTGCTTTGGTTGAGATATTTCATGTATTAGTTAACGGCTAGAATTTCGGAAGCAAGATTAATTGGGTAAACAAGTCACTGCGAAAGTTAATTGTTTTGGGAGAAAGGTGTTAAACTTGAAATTTGGGTAAGGAGACTTGATTTTTAGAACATTTCATCTAGCCATATTAACTTAATATTTATGGCGTTAAAAAGTTTTTAAGATACATATTATTTAGAGTTCCTCATGTAACAGGTAGGGGTTATAGATGTAGAATAGATATTTTTGGATTTCAGATTTTAGAGTCTAGGTAGTCATCAATTTAGAGGATTTAATTTTGACGACTTATTGTGATTAATGCACATAATTGTAAAGTTTTTTGAAACAATTAATGAGATATATTCATTAGTTGAATGAAAAGTGCTTAAAGTGAAGATAAAGTCGATGTTGTTAGCTCTGTTAGTAGCAAATGTCCTTAAAGGTGTATGATAGAAAATTAGTAGAATCTTTAGGAAAATTAATCAATCATGTAGGTTGCTTCTTTTTTTTTTTTTTTGAGAATTAATGTATCTGTATGTCTTGGTGATAATGCAAAGACAAATCTGATGTATAATAGTGCCCTGTTCAGGCGTTAATTAGGAATACAAGTTTTGCTCTATACGTGTTGTGCTTAAGGCCCGATGTTCAATCCCGACGTCCTGCTTAAGGCCCGACGTTCAGTCCCTACGTCCCGCTGAAGACCCGACATCCTGCTTAAGGCCCGATGTTCAGACCCGACGTCCTACTCAAGGCCAGACCATCAACATCCGATCTTCCAAGTGACACTGGGACTAACACCTGACTCCTTATCTCCTACCGCCTACGGTCCTTCTGACCTCTGTCGCCTACTACGGTCCATCCGACCTCCATCACCAGACAACGGTCTTTCAGACCCCAGTCTCTTACCGACTACGGTCCTTCAGGCCTTCGTCGCCTACTACGGTCCATCTGACCTCCATCACCAGACAACGGTCTTTCAGACCCCAATCTCCTACCGACTTCGGTCTTTCAGGCCTTCGTCGCCTACTATGGTCCTTCCGACCTCCATCAACAGACAATGGTCTTTCTGACCCCGGTCTCCTGCCGACTACGGTCCTTCCGACCAGACAAACATGTATATGTAATTCCTACCATATAATGCAATCTATATGATGTAGATTTGCTACATCAATCCAAGACCTTCTCCCAAGGAAGGGCCTCATTTGTAATCGACTGCAAATACTAGTGGATTCATTCAAACTGGGCCAGGCCCCGTGGTTTTTCCCCCTTTTTAGGGGTTTTCCACGTAAAAACTTTGGTGTCTCTTATGAATGCTACACCCTCTTACTTATCTGTTTGTGTGCTGGATCTTCGTACAATGCTAAGACGTTAAACTAAATATTTCTCTACCGCCGCGAATACTCCAGGACGCAACAATGACGAGTGGCAATAGCGATGGACAACAACGGATAGTGGTGACAGTAGCCACAACAACGAATGGTGGTGTTGGTGAGCGGCAGTGGCTGTTGGCGGCGATGGTGGCCTGCAATAGCAGACAGTGCCTGACGGCGTTGGTGGCCGGCGGCGATGGTGGTGGCTGAAGGTAGATGGAGGTGACGGTGACGGTGCAATCAAACGGGCTTACTTGCAATGTTTACTCACTCAAAATCCGATGAGTTTAGCGTATCTAAAAAATAAGCTAAAATAATTTACACCAAATATATTTTACTTTAATTCACATTCTTTTTTCATCAAATAAAACATCAAAATTTTGAAAACCCCTTGATATAAAATACTTTAGGCCGATTTGAAATCCCACCGGACAGCCCCTTAAAATAATCAAGCAAGACTTCAATGGAAAATAAATGAATGGATAGTTTCATTGCACCGCAAATTAGGATCTTGATTGGAGACAACAAGCTCTGTAAGGAGGGTCTCTCTGTTCCCGTTGCATAGGCAAGTTAACCTACCTAAGAGAGAGAGAGCGAGAGAGAGAGAGAGACGACGAAAGAGAGAGTTAAACAGAGGTCCTGGTGCGGCGGAAGAGAGAGAAAGAGGGCGCGACTGAGAACTGGAGAAAACGAGTGGAGACCGAGAGAGAGAGAGGAGCTTCATCAGTTCAGCACTTAAGAACCACCGAAACTCCCTCCGCCGCATCCGCCCTTTACGCCGTTTCACAACAGCCTCCACCGCCGAAGGCGAAGACTGTCTTGTCGTACCCGGTCTCGCCATCGTATGCTTTCTCTTCTCTTTTCATCTTCTTCTTTCTTCCGCCGGTCTCCCCAAACCCATGAAGAGATTATCGCAGAATCCAAAGCTTTTTCGCTGGAAATCCTTCCTCCTTTTCCTTTGATGTTCTCAGTTCAGCTCTGATCCTTCGTCGCCACTCTCTCCACAGTTCTGATGGCGGCGACTGCGATAGTTTCCGATTTTGTGGAATGGAGGGAGAGTATCATCTCTCAGGAGCGCGGAAGCCGCGTTGTCCATTACTTCCTTGAGGACTCTAACGGACAATCCCATCTCGCCGTGATCGGCACCGAGAGGAGCTTGAGACACATGCTCTATGTGGTCTCTGAAGAGTTTCACCAGTCCTATTGCCCAGACAAGTCTGCAGTTTCAAGCCTCAAGTGGAGATCGAGAAGAGAGGTCGTAGATTGGCTTAGTTCGTTTCTCCCGGGGAAGATCAAGTCGCATAATCATTCCAGTAGTGGATCTCTCTTTCCTTTTCGTTTGTCTGCGTTAGATTTCATCTGCTGACTCGTTTATTAGCTCACTTGCGCATATGAAACAGCTTTCAACTTTTTCTATAGTTCTCTATGTGGCTTCTGATGATATTGTTTTGCTTTTTGATGTTGATGTCTCGATCTTAATAGTTTTGTTCTTTCTCAGCATGTTTGGAGTATTGATTCTGCTGTAGTTTGCCTAGGAGTGGCGCAACTTCATAAACAAGAAGACACTTTCCTTCGATGCCAACTATTATCTCATCTATACATCATTTTCCTGTTCTTTTACTATTCATTTATTTGGTGGCCTGGATTGTATACCCAATTTTTACTGTCATCCTGATATTGGCGTTGGAAGGTTTGATTGTTATTCTTTCTGTTGGAAAAATTGAAGCTATTGACTTCGGTGTGCAAAATGGAAGCCCATGTAGGCTTGTAGGTTGGGACAGGTGGTTTCCTTGTTCTGGCACTGGCCTCATATTCTGTTGACGGTTAGTTGTTTACTTAGTTTGTAGATCTTTTATGAAAGAATGTAGTCCTGTGGGTTCCGTATCCAGTCTTAAAGAAATATCCTAGTATTTTGTCAATTTGACTAATTAATATTTATGCAGGACTTGGTCTCATATTGATGCATCATGCATGTTTTATCGGTTTATTTATATCATGTAGTTTGCATATCGTTGTGAGTTGATTATTGTTTTTCAATTAAACAGGGCCCCTGCTGTAACCAGTGTAATATGATTAGTAGAATAATTCTGGCTTTTATGAATTAACCTATTGCTATTTAGCTTCATGAAGCATCATTTTGTTTATGTAATTTCATGTTGATATATATATATAGTAGCAACAACAACCACCTTGTGGTGTAGCCGTGTAGGAAACCAGTGCAAGGTAAACGGGTAGGGAAGGAGAAGCAAAAATGAAAAATTGTAAAATACTATACTTCTTAAAATAATCAACTGTGGGATTTATTTAAGCAATTTTCCCTTATGCCTGTGAAGTCTTTATCGCTGGCATATAACTCCTTTAGGTGCTCAATGCCAGTGATTTCAGTGGACAATGCAGTGAGAAGATTATTGTGGTGGTTGAGTGCATTGGTGACTTGATTATGTGTTTCCACCTTATGTTTGAGGGTGAAATTGATTTTTTGAGGAAAGAAAACCCAAAGCGCATTCATCTTACTTTAGTTCTTTGAGAGATAAGAATTTAGAGGGCTTGGCAGTCACTGTGCAACACAAAATCATGGTATAGTAGGTAATGCTCTTATTGCATGAACAATAGCATACAACTCATGCTTGTAACCCATCCAGTTTTGATGTTGCGGGTTCAACTTTTCATGAAAAATTCATTGGTTGGACGTCTTGAGATAGGATAGTGCCTATGCCCCAAAGCGGAATCATCTATCTTGACCAAAAATGACTTTTTGAAGTTTGGTATGACATGAACTTGGGCGGAACTCAACTTATACTTGATAGTTTTAAAGAAACATTATTATTCATCAGTCTAGGAAAATTGCTTTAACTTAATGCAGTTTGTAATATGCCTTTAAAATGCTAAACCCACGAATGAATCGCTTGGAGAAGCTGGCTAGGTTGTGGAAGCTTCTTGTTTTAGTGTCAAAACTAGGAGGCGGTTAGTCTGAAAGTCTGAAAGTGCTGTAGCTTTTCTAGGATCTACATGGACACCATTGGAACTAAATCAACTAATAATGAATCCTAATACATGCACTGCTGTGGTTTCGAACTCGCATTTGCTTATGTTGAAGTGGTGAATGTGGAGCATGGGGAAAATTTGTTCAAAATGTTTGAAATGAGCAGTTTGCGATGGTTCAAATATAAGAATGTCGTCAGAATAACCAACACTAGGAGTTTAAGAGAGGCTTCAGTGCATTGGTCATGAGTTGTATGAACGTGCTTAGTGTGTTGTATCGCTCGAAAAGAATCACCTTCAATTCATAAAGCCATTTGCTCATTTAAAATGTAGTTTTCCACTCATTACTGGGATTAATTGGTGATAACTGCCGAGCATGTCAAGTTTTGTGTAAGACTTAGGAACTTGTAAGCTTGTTGAGCATATCTTCGAGGTGGGATATTTTACTATAATTTTATTAATTGTCTTGTTCTCCACACACATATGTCTTATCTTATCTTCTTGCAATAAATTGTGATTGATCAGACTCATTTTATAGTGTGAGAGATTAGGCAAAGAGCTGTTAGGATGGAATTCAATCTGACATTATATTGTGCTTGATCAGTTCATTTGAGGGCAAGTGATGTAGGCATGGCGCATGGACTATGTCTTGCAATAACTTGTGCTTGATCATGCTCATTTTATAGTGTGGGAGATTAGGCAAAAAGCTGCTATGATGGAATTCAATTTGATGTTGTACTTTCTTGAGTGACATCATTCCCATTGGCAGGTCAGTTGGCCAAATAACCAAAAAAAATTTCAATAGAGTTATGACACGTTATGACATTGCCTTCTTCTATTATAGCAATTAGAGCAAATAAAGAATTAGTTTCTTTCTGGGTTTCTGGCAGGGATTGAACTAATACCATTATAAATGCCGATCTTTCGTGTGATCCTGTGAGCTTTTGGATTTGGATACTGTGAACTTCTTCCCTTTCCACTCAAACAAGTAAACATTTATCCCGACAGTCATATGTTGCTCTCATAATTAATTTCCAAGGGCGATCAAGTATTAGGTGACATACATTCCTCACATTTTGATAACCTCTTATGATACTTTGTACAAGAAGTGTTTGCCAATAGAGAAGGTTATCCAACACATATCTATAATCAAAATTTTAACCCTGAACCAAATTGATCTTATAGGTGTGGGGATGCTTGGTTGCTTTCATATTCAGTGCTCTAACTACAGTTCTAGAGCAGTGCAATTGCTATTTATCAGTAGTTCGCATACTTTGCCATTAGTCATACAACTGGTGTGGAATATGGCGTGAGATTTTGTTAAAGTGGGTTCTCGAGGCACGATAAGAATCTTTGAAATAATGCAAGTGATGACGTCCTGTTCATCGCCTTGAGTTCTTCTACTTAATTATCAATTGTGGCATTGTCTTTGGTATAGGACCCATCTTGGCCTCTCTTGGCAAGTTGAAATTGTTTGCGAGTTGGGCACTCATTTGATTTGTGCCTTGATTGGAAACAATGAAAATACTTAAGGTGTTTGGCTTGGCATACGGATTCTCATGCGCAGGTGAAGCATATTGCTGATTCATCTTGAGTTATGGTGGGGGTTGCAGCTTATGAGCATGGGATTTAAGAGAGAAGAACTTGGGATTGAGATTGGGCAATTGAGCTTTGTTATTTGGATGAGTAACTCCTTTCAATATGAGAAACCATGGGAATGATGACTTAACAGAGAATCTGCCTCTTATGCTAGATTCACCACTTGCAACAGGACCAAACGTAGTTTGTTTTGAGCTTTTTGTGTACTGTATTTTGAAGGCCTCCCATATACTATGCCACCAATTGATTAGTTGATTCATTTATGTTGTTTCTTGTGCTAAACCGATAAATTTTTAATAGGTGATTACGAGTTAGAGTGACATAGGCAATAGTTATCTACTTGACATATCATGCATTGTTCTTTAATGAGATTGTTTTTACTAATGGGGGACCCATGATTATTTTGTATCTGGTTGTATTGCAAAATGGTATAGATGTTATAGAAAAAAATGGAGTTTTGTGAAAGCTATAGGTTCATTTGTCTTACATTTCATGCTCCTAATTTCACTAATTCTCCAGGAGTTGGCATTTATTGATAATATTATCTCTTAATCTTTTTCGGACAATATATTAAAAGTTATCCCATTCTGAAGCTGTTCTATTATTGTAATTTCATTACCAGTCTTTCCCATAAGAATGGATGTCTCAGTAGTGTTACAATTTTAATTGCAGGAGCACTGAAAAATGGTCCAGCAAACTCTTTGGGTGCTAAGATCACAAGTAATGGAGTTAAGGATTCAGGAGGCTTCGTGCATAAGCATATGGTATTTGATTGACGAGAAAATCTTCTTTGTTATTTTGAATCCTACTTGGATAAATCATTTTTCCAATTTACATTCCAGGATCTTGGCAGGAGCTTGAAAGGCCAACACTCAGAGATCACGTGGTTTGGAATTTCCTGGATCTGTGGCAAACAACTTAAGCATTACGAAGCATTTTATCGCAATGGGACAACCATTTTTGTAAGCGTCAGCTTATTTAGTTATTGATTTTTTGAAATATTCTTAAGAATAAACTATTTTGTTTTTAATGCAGGCCCATTCTTTTGTTCTTGTCATGTCAGAGGAAGAAACTCGCTATCTTGCTTATCTAGAAGATATGTATGAAGATAAGAAAGGACAAAAGAAAGTGAAAGTGCGCTGGTTTCACCAGGACCAAGAATTTGATTGTACAATACCACCGCCAGCTCCACACCCTAATGAAGTCTTCATAACTCCTTACTCGCAGGTCATAAGTGCCGAGTGTGTTGATGATGTTGCTACTATTTTAACTCCTGAACATTATGAGAAGTGTTCAGCAACATCTCCTTATTCGTCTTCCTGTGGTCTGCGCTTATGCTTTAGGCAATATAACAAAAAAAAATTCAAATTCTTTGATCTAACATCTCTGGGTGGATATTTTAATCAGCCTGTTCTTTCATCCTTGGATATCTGTTCTTTTTCTGGGGAGCAGCAATTCCGCAATGCCTGTGATATAAAACATGTTGGATCAAAGAGAATGACATTTGTCAAGAGCCATCAGAGGATTTTGAAGGACCATTTGGATATTAAAATGTCCAGTGACAGAAACGAAATGAGAAAACTCTGGCCAGCATGTCATAACTTGGGATGTGATCTGACCATGAGAAGGCCTCTGTCAGTGAAGTTTATAGGACCACGTAATCTGCCAAAACCTCCCTACAAAGCGGATGAGAAGATTGAGCTACTATGCCAAGATAGTGGCATCAGAGGCTGCTGGTTTAAATGTACTGTTTTAAGAGCAAGTCAAATGAGATTGAAGGTCCGATATGACAATGTGCAGAATGAGGATGATTGTGGGAACTTAGAGGTACGAGATAATGACATTCTCATTTTAGTGCAAGACATATAACTAGCTTAATGTATAACATGAAAGAAAATGATCGCTAAAACTATAGCTTGTCTATACAGCAGAAGTTATAGGTCTGTTCTTATTTTTACTTTTTGGTATAAGTTCTAAATATTTATGCAGATTTGCATTTATCTATTATAGACCGGAACTGCCAATCTAATCTGAACCTGCATTCAATTGTTTTAATATTTCTTCTTTACAAATTAGGAGAAACAGTTGCAATACTTTTCAATTAATGAGAGCCCTGGCAATGTATGGAACTACTAACCAGTGGATGTTTACAGGTTACTTATGCTGTGGGTCACCAATATATGTCAGCCACATGCTTGATCTATTGGTTCTACGCATATATTATTATTCTTTACAAAAATACGTGGAAACATTCCTGTCAATAATTTTTATCAGACATCTAACTATGCTGATTGCTATAAATTCTTTTTTTTTTCCCCCTTTTTTTAAAGAAATTTAGTTGATAATGAAGCTTTGTTAGATTGATAGATACTTGTATTCTTTCTGAGTGTTAGTTTTTTTTTTTGTAGGAATGGGTACCTGCTTTCAAAGTGGCTGCTCCTGACAAATTGGGCATGAGGCTTTCAGGCCGTTTTACAATTAGGCCATTTCCTGAGTGTAATTATATACCTGAGGATGCTGCCTTGCAGATTGGAACAGCAGTGGATGCATGGTGGAATGATGGCTGGTGGGAGGGGGTTGTTATTGGAATGGAATGCTGTGGAGATGATAGCTTGCAAGTATATGTTCCTGGTATGAATTTTTTACATTTGCTATATTGATTTATTTCTCTCTACCTTAATTGTTCTCATATCTTGTCTTTCACCGTTGGTACTGTGAACTGCATGATTCCATGCTATTTTTGTTTCTTAATAGATGAAAGAGTGCTCTTAGTGTGAGTGATCTAATGATCATTGGTTCACTACTCGCCAAGCTTTCAGAACTACCATGCTACATGAATTCTTCCAGGATTTTCTTTGCCGTGTAACTTAACTTTTACACAATAAACACTGTTTACAAAATTGAAAGGACTCTCTTTTTCTCGAATGTTCTAAAATATTTCTAGAGAATAGAAACCATGCTGGCTGTGAACTCACGCTGACACATAGTTTGACTGTTGAATCAAAACTTAAAAAGGCAGTCTTGTGTAGTTTCAACGAGACCTTGCTTCTACTATGTAACTTCTACTGAGATTTGGTTTTAGAAGAATGGACAGTTTATTCTGCTTAGTGATGAACTGTCTTGGAACTTTTACTCTATTATTCTAAAAGAACTTTGTTTTCCATAAAGCATAAAGAAGAAGTGGTTCAGTATGACACATTTAGTCAAGTAGAATGATGAGTTGGTAAAAAAGAAAATTGCATGTGTGCTAGAGTCTTTTTATGGAGGCATGAGGCACACGTCCTCTTCCTTCGTTGAATATTGCTAGCGTACATGGAATTACACTGTTGAGATGTTTTACTTCCCAGAGGAATTTCCAACAAATGCAGGTAGCTATCAATTGCAGCAAGGGAGTAAGAAATAGGAAAAAGATTGGGGCGAGAATATCCCAACCAAAACTTGTCTTTTGATCAAGATATCCACCCAATTTTTTTCCCAAGAAATATAATATAGTATATTGAAGCCCTTGCCACCGGCTAGTGGCAAGTTTTTTCTTGTATAACATGATTGATCGTGAGTTCAAAAAAGTACTTTTACGGGACATTGAGCTGGTTTTATTAGTGAGAATGATGTGCTATAGCTTTTTAATTAAGGTGAAATTGTTAGGTCAATCTGTTTGAGGTGGGGGTGATTAAGAACAAGCCCAAAGGTGGAAGTTATTGGACAAATATAATGGGATTCATGGAATACAATTTGGTTCATTTCTATAGAAAGATTGGCTTTTAACATATTATAATTTATCTTAAGATTAATGGGGAATGCTGATGTGAATTTCACATGCAAAATACTTCTGTTACAACCACCAATTTGAAATTAGAATTTTGAAAATTAAAATTAGATTTTAATTTTGATATTTGGTTCTAACCATTTAGTGGAGTCAGTAAGAGTATGCATTTATATGTTTGTATTGCCATTTTATTCTGAAGATCCTTTGCGATTCCTTCCTTGATTTTTTTAAATGAACTTATTTTGTTTTTTTTATGAAGATTATAAATAAGGATCTAAGGCATGTAGAGAGGGGGTTATGGTTCATTCGGTATGATCCTCTACAACTCTGAAATTTTTTTAATAAACTTATTTTGTTATTTGATGAAGATTATTAATAGGGATCTAAGACATGTAGAGAAAGCAATCATGTGAAGAATTAAATTGTTTTGGATGTACCAAGTTTTCTCCTTTTAAGATTAAGTTTCTTGATCAAGTATGGCACTTGAAAATCAAGGTTGAGGCTCTTTCCATGTACATGTTGCTGCTCTTCGGTGATGTTGTACTCTTTCTTCTCTTCTTCCCCTTTGAATTATTTTTTCATTATGGGTTGAAAGTGTGATTGAATTTTCTCAGACTTTCCATAACATGTTTTTCTTTCTTTGCATGGAATTTTGGTTGTTTGCATGGTTTTCATGATCTTCAACTTTCTTGCATTAATTTCTAGTTGCTTGTAAAATTTTCATTTGAATTAAAATTTATCTTTTTTTTTTCATTGATAGTAGTAAATAGTATTTTAAGATTGATAGTTTGTCTTTTGAAATTGTATGTTTGTTATATTATATGGTTTCATTTATACTTATATTGCATGCTAGATTCGTGTTAGATACTCTGCATCAAATGGGAGCCTAGTTTATAGGATTCCTCTAACTAGACAAGCGACCATTCTTGGTCCAACTATTTGAACCTTGATGTATGTGATCTGGTTTTAACATCACTAGTTCAAAAGGGTGTTTACATTGACTACATGAGAGAATATTCTAATCAAGAATTTAAAAGATCATAATTATATTGTAATAGTGGTTAATATATGTTAGTATTAGGCCAGCTTATGTTCTGATTTAGCAGCATTTGTTGGTAATCATTCTTTAAAAAAAGGATTGAAAATTTGATTTCTCTTAGTTTGTCTCTTAAAGATCGAGCATGTGATATTCAATTTTAGTGGATGTGAAATAAACAATAATTAGTCAATATTATAAGATAAAGTGATATCTAGGTGTTATAGAGTCAAATGATTCCTCATTCATTCCACATCTTGCATCCATGCAGCTGCTCTCCCTCAAATTTTTGATTGCGCTTCTTCCATTTCGATCTTGTCCATGCACCCAACATTGAGCTTATGTTCTGATTGAGCATTATAGATGGAGATATAGGTAGGGGTATAAATGAGTCGAGTGTGAGCTAGCTTGTCATATGCTTCTATTTTGTTCGTTATAGTTTTGTTTGTTTGAAATTATTTATGAAATCGTGTATGTGCTCAATTCGTTCAACTTCAAGCCAAACATCAATCATTCTATTTATCTACTAACCAATTAATTAATATGAATATATATATATATCGATAGAGAGAATGATGAGTTGAACACGATTGAACAAGGCTATTTTTATGTCCGATCGGTTAAGAAAACAAGCTAAAAATAGTTTAATATCAGCTCGCTTTAAGAATAAATTGAACACAAGCTTCTTAGTAAGCGGAACACATATGGTTTGTGAAACATGAGCTTTTTGACAACCCTAGATATATGTTGTTTCCTGCTTCATGTGCTTTTTTCCTCTCTTTTACAAGGTTTCTTTTCATTGCTTCTACCTCATATTGTCATTAGGCGCTTAACGAAAATTGTGAACTATGGAGTTCTGTTCTCCTCAAGTTGGGATTGTTATGCAAGCTGATACTTAATTGCCTATATCATTGAATGTTTCATCACAGCTATGATGTCATGGGTTGCTCGCCTAGATTATTGATTTGATTCATGATGTATATCAACATGTTAAGCCTGAGCCCCCAAATCCTCTTACACAATTGTTCATATTGCTATTGCTATTTGTTGTTTAGGAGACTTGTGCTCCAGTTATGACTCCTTTACTAAGATGACTTCTATCTTCTATTTTTTCATATAAGAGTTTCTTTCGACTCTGGTGTAATGATATATGATCATCACGATCAAATGATTTAGGATAATCTTGGTCGCATTTTTTAGCTGTTTCAATTTAATTTTATGCATGTATTAATCATGTTGCTTATGCAAATGTACAATTAGGACACATTACGTCTTGTTTTATTAATTTGATATATTTTGGGTATTTATTAAAGCATACTCTATATAAGAATGCCTTAAGTTTGTATTTAAAAAAGATTTTATGAATGAATATTGAATCAACTTTCTCTTGCTATTTTTTAACTTATAATTGGTTTCTCCGTAATCTCCATTACCTCTAGATGTTCTATTAGATTTATCCTTCTCTTAGTACCTGTGCAAATGAGCGTAGCTTAAGCTAGCTTTTTAGTTATTCGTGTTCAGTTCGTTTGCATTTTCATTTGCTCGAAATTAGCTTGTGTTCGAAATTGTTCTTGAACATCGTATTTGTGTTTGACTCTTTTGAATTCAAGCGAATGTTGAATAAATGAAATAAAAATAATGAGCCAAATAAGATTGAGTCATTTTACTTGTATATATTAACCAATTAATAATTCAAATAATATATATATCATATATATAATATATATATATATATTATAGAGAGAGAGAAGAGAGAGAGAGAGAGAGAAGAGGGTTGAACACAATTGAGTAAGGTTGTTAAGAAAATGAGTTCAAATAATTGTTTAGTGTATGCAAGCTCATTAGATGAAGCATAAGTCACGAAGAGCTTTTTTAGTGAGCTGAACATGAGCTATCTGTGAATGACAAGCTTTTTTTGACCCCATCCACATTGATTATTTAGCAAATGCATTTCCCCCTATCTTCTTTTATTTCGTCTATGAGTTAAAATTTATGATCTTTATGTTCTGGTTATTGCACATGAAACGAAGTGTCATCACTTGATTGTTGCAAGTTCCAACTCTTCTTGCTCTTTCCCAATCGCATATATAATTTCCATCTTCAGAGGTAACTAATGCCTAGTTTTGTTTAATTGTTGCTGCTGTAAAAGTTTGTTTTGAAACAGTTGTGAAGAAAATGAAGTATCTGAAAAGCTGTTTGAATAATGGAGACATGGAGTTATGAGCATAATGCTATTTAGTTAAATTGCTTTATTTTGTGCTTGCTGAGATCTAAAAGCATATATTAATTGTTTGGTTTGGTTTTCAGCTTTAACGCTTTGACTATAAATGTCTGAATTGCCCATATATCAAAATTAAGTGTATGTAATTTTTTTAACTGTTAAAAAAAATTATAATTAAAAAAATTACAACATATATGTAAAATTTTTAAAATTGTTATTTATATTATCATTACTTCCAACATAATTTTAATACTAGTACATTAAAAGTAAATCTATTACTTAATGATTATAATTACTATTTTTAAATTTTTCTTTACATATAGATTTGCATTATTATTTCAATTATTTTTTTAAACCTTGTCAATAAATTCAAATTGTAAAACAAGGTGATTATTGAAAGGTCGAAGTTCATAATGATAATATCATTACACCATGACTATCAAATACAAATAACAAACATCATTGTATGCTTCAATATAAATAACTAGTCGTACATGAAAATAAACTCTTAACAAATAATATGAATGTTGATCGAAGATGTTGGTCATAAGTGGTCTAAGCCTTCAACCGCTATCCATTGTGGCATGACACCATGAATCCTTTCTCCTATTCTGTCTCTTATTGGCAAATCCCAGCTAAGATGCCTCCATCGATAGGCCCACCTAATGAAGAAAGTAAAAGCACCAAATTCTTGTACATTGAAGCTAACCCAATAAGATTTTCTATGAGCTATTTGCCGGTTTATTTAGGTGCCAGAATGATTATGGACAAGGGAGACCAGAAAGAATTAGTGGATAGAATCTCTCTCGCTATCTCTCTCTCTCATGCCTCTCTCATGCCGCAGTGTGCCTATTTGGTAGACCCAAATTACAGCCTCCTAATTAGGGTCGCTTAAGCCCTTTTGACAATGTACTGTGATTGCTTAACTCTCCCTGCTTCTCTTATTCCTCACCATCTTCGTCATCTCCGCCGCTACATGCTGCACCACCAACACCACTGGAAGGGAAAGGGAAGTTCTGCTAGAATTGATTGACGATGTGGGGACAAAGAAGATGACTCGAGAGACGTGGTAAGGTTTTGTGTGGGCGTGTGAGTGTACTTTGGAATTTTCGCAAATGGTTAAATGCGGCCATCCTGAGAAAGTGGTTGATGAATAACTATGATGTTTTAAGTGAAAATGGAGTTATTTTTGTGTTTTGGCAAAAATAGTTCTTCCAAACACAAATTTAATTTATTTTACCATTTTAAAATTGAAAAAGCAGTAAAAAAGTCCCACCAAACCAGGCCTAAAATAACACCATATGCAGCTATAAATGGGAATGAATGCTTGAGAAACACTCGAAATATTTAGATTAAGGCTAATTGCTAATTCATATTGCATGTTATGCCTTTTCCAATTTTCTTTATTTGTTATGATAAAATTCTTGCAAATATTCAGCAATCTTTCAAATGCTCATGATATGCATCCTTTAAACTTTTTTCTCATAACCGGGGATCTATCATTATGCACGTAACTATAAGTCTATAACATAGATGCAAGATAATTTAAAGCATTGACATAGGAGAGTTAGAAACGAGGGAATATTTCAACTTGACTTTTCTCTGCTGTCCCAATTTCTCTTAAGAAGCTTATTCAGACCGGACACAACTGTTGCTGAAGAAATGATGGATTTTTTTTTTTTTTTTTTTTAGGTGAAGATTTCTTCCTATCTTGTCAAAGAAAAAATGTTAGAATTTCTAATGACTGGTCAGGGAATAGATGGGTCAGAGTTGACGCTAAGCCAGACATACTATCATTGATATCTTCTGTCAGTCCAGTAGCAAAGCCAACTGCAAATGGCGTGTTGGCCAAGGGCGCAGAGTCAGGCTGTTCTGCAATGTCGGACCGTGAAGCCATTGCTACAAAAGCTAATTCAATTGAAGAAAATAAGCAAGCAGCAGGAAATGAAGACGCTAATCAAGTAGAAGGAAACTTGACAGAGAAAATAAATGGGTCAGTGGAGTGTGACAAGCCTTTCAGTACAAGAAAACGGTGCAGGGATGAAGCTTATGATGGACGTTATGAAGGTGAACTGGACTTAGAAGGCAATGAAAAGGCAAGCAATTGAGTTATTGATCCAGTCAAGTTTCCAAGTTGTATATATCTCACATACGCCTACCAGCTATAGAATATGGTACGGAAACTCGAGCAAATTTCCAGGGTCAGCTAACTGCATTTTTGTTGAGGGACCTTGGTTTGCTGCTCTCTGTTATCTCTCTTTTTAGCTTTTACATTAAAAACTTACTCACGTAACCCATATTCTAGTGGCCCTTCAATGGTTCCCCTCTGATTTTGTACTATGCCATGAAAATGTGTTTCTTGGCCTTAATAGGCCCAAGTAGTTCTGGGCTCCAACCTTGGTTCTTTATTGATGGTTCAGTTAAATGGGAATGGCTAGATCCAGTTGTTTCAGCAGTATTGCGTCATATCTTTTAATTTTTGTGTTGATTGCTCTTATGCCAGTTTCTGTTACGATCATATCATACTGCTGTAGCTTTTGCAGCTGCTGAAACAGTAGCTTTTGATTGGTTTTCAAGTGGATCAATCCCAATTATGATTAATGGACATCAGGCATAGAAGAGATCTCAATTAGGCATGCATTGTTTTGGTCTTTTAATTAGGGGTATGCGTTGTTTGGATAAAAGCGAAAAACTCATTCAAATTTATTTTATTTGGTTGGATCGGTTATGTTGTTAAATTATTAGTCATAATTTCGACTTTTTTATTATGGTTCTGTTTTTGTTATTTCTAAAATCAATTAAATCAAATATCTTATTTGATCAGGTTCCATGTTGACAATGGCATTCAGTTGCAGTTTTGTGCAGATTGAGATCAATTCTGATTGATTGTAATGAAATCTTCACATACGAATTTGCCATGTTATTAGAACAAATTGACTTAGAAAATATTTTTCTTTTTAAATTTGCAATATGCGATGCAAAGATTTAGCTTTTAATAATTTATATAATAGAGTAGATACTAAGGAAGGTGAAAGATATATGTATAAGTTAGCCAAACAAAGGGATATGAGTAGTAAAGATTTAGTTCAAATGAAGTGTATGAAGGATGAAGATAAAAGAAGTGTTTTTATTAAAAGAGGATATTCAACAAAGATGGATGACATTTTTTGTTAAACTTTTCAATGAAGATTGTGAGAATAAGATTGACTTTAGTGACCTTAGCACCCTAAATGAAAATAAATATTTTTGTTTTTATCGGCGTATTAGTAAAATTGAAGTTAGAGAGTCTTCAAAGAAAATGATGTGTAGAAAAGCTGTTGGACCTGATGATATTTTAATTGAGGCGTGGAAATGTTTAGGAGATGAATGAATTTCTTGGCTTACTATACTTTTTAATGTTATTTTGAAGACTAAAAAGATATCAGATGAGTGGATAATGAATATGTTGATTCATATTTTTAAGAATAAGGGTAATGCACAAGATTGTGCGAATTAATGAATTATAGAGGAATTAAGTTAATATGTCATACTTTAAAACTATGGGTGAGAGTTATGGAACATAGGTTGCGGCGTGATGCTAATATTTCTCAAAATCAATTTGGATTCATGCCGAGTAGGCCTACTATGGAAGCTATACATTTATTGAGAGGTTTGATGGAGAAGTATAGAGAGAATAAGGAGGATCTATATATGATATTTATTTATTTAGATAAAGCATATGATAAAGTTCCAAGAGAAGTGTTATAGAAAGTTCTAGAAAAGAAATGGGTTAATAATGCTTATATTCAAGTTATTAAGGATATGTATGCATGAGCTGTTACTTGTGCTCAAATAAAAGATGGTTTGACCAAGTGTTTTCCCATTTCAGTTGGATTACATGAAGGGTCAGCCTTAAGCCCATTTCTTTTTGCTTTAGTCATGGATGTTCTCACTAGATATTTGCAAGAGGTTGTACCTTGGTGTATTCTTTTTGTTGATGATATTCTTCTTGTTCATAAGACTAGAGGAGGAGTTGAATGTAAACTTGAATTATGGAGGTCAACCTTAGAGTCTAAGGGCTTTCATTTGAGTAGATATAAAATTGAATATATGGAGTGTAATTTTAGTAATAATAGATCTAGTTGGGGGATTGTGACTTTGGGCGATCAAGTCATTAATAAGAGTACATATTTTAGATATCTTGGGTCTATTGTTTAGAGTGATGGTGAAATAGGGATATTATCAGTAGAATTCAAGTTGGATGGTTGAAGTAGAGGAATGCATCAGGCTTCTTGTGTGATAGAAAAGTCCCCTTCAAACTTAAGAGAAAATTTTATAATATGGTGGTGAGACTTGCAATGCTTTATGGTGCAGAGTGTTGGCTATTAAAAGAGAAGCATAATATTAAGTTAAAGTGTTGTAGAGACGAGGATGCTCAGGTGAGTGGCTTTACTCTTAGAGACATGTACGAAATTGTCATATACCTGAAATGGTTGGAGGAGCTTGATAGGAAACAATAGGAAAACAAAAAAATAGTTGCTGAAATCAGAAATTTTGCAGATTAACCAAACAGATTTTTAGATTTTTATGGATAAAAACATAAGAAAAACACTATAGATTGCTAGGAGATGAAAATAAATAGCAAGATGCAAATGATCCTCTATTCGAGAGGAGGATCAATATCTCTAAAATTCTCTAGACCCCGCTAAGGCCCAAGACACCCAAGAGAACTTTAGAAATTTACCACAAAAAGATGTTGTAACCCTAATACAAATTCTTACTTAAAGCAAATACAAAAATAACATGAAAGGACTAAGCAGCCCTCAATAATTAGCCCTAGGTAGTGGACCCCACCCCAAAGGGGGTGGGAATTGGCTCATGCGATTCCGCAGGCCGACGGCTTATGTAATAAAGGAGCCACCGGCCCACATGTTGGGCAGGCTGGACTGCTGGACCGGTCCCAACGTATCAATACCCAACTCCCAAAGAACCACGTTGTCCTCAAGGTGAAAAGAGGGGAATTGATGTTTACCCTTTCGTAGGGCTTCCATGTAGCGTCATAATCAAGAAGGTCCTTCCACTTGATCAACACTTCTTTGATCCCCTCCCTCTCCTTGGCATACCCCTTGTAGCTTCAGGGGTTCCAATACCACTTTCAACTCTTCATTCATTGTTGCTGACAACTCTGAACTGGCTCTGTGATCCCTCAAAGTTCTCCTCAACTGTGACACATGAAAGACTGGATGGATGGTGGCTATTGTAGGCAATCTCAAACGATATGCTACTGCTCCAATTTCTCTAATATCTCTTAAGGGCCGAAATATCTTGGAGCCAACTTCTCGTTCCTTCTATAAGTGACTATCCTCTGCCTGTAGGGCCTTAGCTTTAAGAACACCCTCTCACCAATTACAAATTGGATGTCCTTCCTATGCCCATTCGCTTGTTTCTTCATAATCTGTTGAGCCCTCAACAAATGCTTCTTCAATTCTTCCAACACCATATCCCTCTCCTCCAAGTATGCTTCTACTGAAGAAACTGGAGTGACTCTGCCCAAAATGCGTCATGTTAGGTGGATCTCTCCCGCACAATACCTTGAATGGGGTCATCTGAGAAGCAGAATGATATGAGGTGTTTTACCAATACTATGTCCATGCTAACCACTTGGCCCAAGGCCAAGGGGTTTCCGACACAAAACATCGTAGGTATATCTCCAAGCTTTTGTTTACCACCTCTGTCTGCCCATCGATCTGTGGATGGTAGGTGGTGTTCCTCTTCAGAACTGTCTATCTGATGCTACTTTCACAGTCGTGTAGGGATGTCGTAGGGGAATGAAATGAGCATACTTTCTTAGCCTATCTACCACCAGTAGTATCATAGTGAAGCCTTCGGATCGAGGTAGCCCGTCTATAAAATTCATGGAACTTCCTTCCACACCGGATATGGTAAAGCTAGCTAGGGGCTGCAATAATTCTCCTGGAGTCATGGCCATGTACTTATTCCTCTAACAGACCTCATAATTGGCTACCAACTTCTCCACATCCTTGTGCATCCCCTTCCAATACAACTCTGAGGTGAGTCTCCTGTATGTCTTTTGCACTCCTAAATGACCCCCAATAGCACTCTCATGGAACTCCTAGAGCAAATGTGAAATATGAACAAATGTCCTAGGCAGTACAAATCGCCTCTGGTACAAAAGCCTCTCACCTTCCAAAGAATAGCCTGGGTGGCTTATCCCATCATTCAATAAGTTTTCCCTAATCCTCCCAACTCCTTATCCCGTGCACTCTCCTCCTTAAGCCCCCCCTACCCGCAATCTAGCACCAGTGGTACGACGCTACTATTGTCTACATCTTCCCATACATCTAGACAAGGCATCCGCAACCTTGTTCTCTATCCCCGTCCTATACTAAATTTCAAAGTCATATCCTAATAACTTTGACTGCCATCTCTAGTACTCCTCTGTCACCATCCTCTGCTCCAACAAGTTCTTTAGGCTTCACTGGTTCATCGTGACAACGAAATGCCGACCAAACAAATAGGGCCACCACTTTTGGATGTCTAGCACAATGGCCATCAATTCCCTTTCATAGACTAACTTCAGCCTGGCTCTAGTTGTCAACACCTAGCTGAAGTAGGCAATGGGTCGATGGGTCTGCATGAGTACTGCTCCCAATCCATATCCTAGGAATCTGTCTCCATTATGAAGATTTGAGTGAAATTTGGTAGGGCCAAGACCGGCATAATGGTCATGGCCTTCTTTAAGCTCTCAAAAGCTGTTGTGGACGCCTCCCCTTATAAGAAACCATCCTTCTTTAACTGTTTTGTCAGTGGCCATGCAATTGTGCTATACCCCTTCACGAACCTCCTGTAGTAGCCCCTCAGCTCCTTGAGATTCTTTGGCAATGACCATCTAAATATAGCTTCAATTTTGGCCTAATCCGCTGCTACCCCATCTTTAGAGACTACATGCCCTAAGTACTCCACACTGGCATGTGCAAAACAACATTTCTTCCTATTGGCCCTCGTTAGTGCTCTTGTAACACCTCTAAAACTTTCCTCAAGTGCTCCCAATGCTCCTCTGAACTGTTGTAAACCAGGATATCATCAAAAAATACCAACACAAATCGCCTTAGTTAGGGCCGGAAGACTTTGTTCATGAGGGACTTGAAAGTGGCTGGAGCATTAGTGAGGCCAAAAGACATCACTAGAAATTCATAATGTCCTTAATGAGTTCTGAAAGCAGTTTTTGGCAAGTCCTCCCTTTTCATTCTGATTTGATGATACTCTGGCTTCAGATCTATCTGGGTGAAAGTAACCACCCCACTCATCTCATCCAATAGCTCATCAATCACTAGGATGAGAAACTTGTCTAACACAGTTTCCTTATTCACCGCCCTATAGTCCATGTAGAATCTCTAACTCCCATCATTTTTCTTAAACAGTAATATTGGGTTAGAAAAAGGGCTCACACTGGGCCTGATAACCCTTGCTTCCAACATCTCTCAGATCAACATCTCAATTGTATCCTTCTGAAATTGAGGATAGTGGTAGGGCCTAGGATTGTAAACGAGTCGGGTCGAGTTTTAGCACTATCAAGCTCGACTCGTCAGTTAGAAAGCAAGCTCGAGTCGAGCTTAGGGGTGTCAATTTTTGACACGACTCGAAACCCAACCCGGAGATGACCCGAAAAAAATCCAGGTTTGGGTCAACCTGGTTAGCAAACGGTTCGGGTTCGGGTTCGGATTTTTGACCCGTTTGAAAAATGAGTCGGGTTTGGGTTAAATGGCAACCCGAAGTCAACCCGAGTTGACCTGGGAACATGACTGCATGTGCCTTGCATAACGTTAGCTCCGCAATTGGTCTCGTTGTTTCAGTCGCCCCATCTCCGCAATTGGTCTCGTTAGCTCTGCGATTGGTTCGATAAGCCGTCTGCGTAGCTAGCAACCTTGCCGCGATTGGTCGCTGTCCTGGTCGTCCCATCCCCGCTAACCCTCGCGTCACGTCCGCCTCCTCGATCAGTCACTGACCTCCGCGGCTCTGCCTCGCTTGCATGGCCACATACGGCCGCACTAGCATGACCCGCTGGCCTCAGCGCCTCACCCGCACCAGCGTGAGCCGCTGACCAGTTCGGTTTCGGCTTTTCGCGATCCTCACTTATATCGCGGGTCGGGTCGGGTCAACCCGGTAACCCGCACGGGTCGGGTTCGGGTTGACAAACCTGACCTGTTTGCATAACAGGGTCGGGTTAGTGTCAACCCGTTTGCGGCCGGATCATGTCAGGTTCGACTCGAACCCGACCCATTGACCCGAATGGACACCCCTAGTCAAGCTCAAAAGGCAAACTTGAGCTCGTCCCACTATAAACGAGCTCGAACCGTCTCGCGAGCTACTCGATTTTGTGCGAGATTTTGCATTTGTTCCATTTTTTCCGCCCAATTTCTCATTTTGCCGCCTGTGCTTGTCCCGTATTTCGAAAAGTAGAAACAATAGATTTTTTTTTAAAACATAAACCTATGGTAGCTTTTTTTTAAAATAACTAGTTTTTTATTTTTACTTTTTGAAAACTTCTCTCATATTAGTCATATATTAATGAAAAGCTGTCAAGTTAGTCATATCGTTAATGAAGATCCAAGATAGGTATAATTTTTATTCTTCTTTTTTAAGAACCTGTCATATAGGCTTCCATATCATTAATAAATAGCAGAAAATCTCAAACTGTTATTTTTTTAAAATAAAGATATGTTTATTGATTAATTTAATTAATTAAATAATTTTGAGCATAATTTTGAGTTGGCTCGTGAACTCACAAGCCAAGCCTCAACTAGCTCGAACTCGAGCTCGTGGCTCGATAAGCTCATCTCACGAGCTCGTTATTGAGTCGAGCTCGAGCAGGATCACAAGCCGGCTCAACTCACTTACACCCCCGGAAGGGCCTGACACTGATGAGTGATACACATTCTCTCAAGGTAATACCATGCTCCTGCTCTCTTGGCGGTGGAAATCCCTGAGGTGGCTGAAAAACTTTACTGCATTACTGAATCAATGGTTGCACTGCAAAAGGAATGTCCCTACCCTCCTCCAATTTGATCCCCTCCAACCTATGTAGCTCCACCATATAACCTTCCCCTACCTCCTATATGCTCTTCACTATGGTTTTAAGTGATACATTGGCTTTGGAGAGCCATGCTTCTCCCTTGATCAGTACCTTTCTCCCTTCCACCACCAGGTCCATCGTCAATACCCCTAGTTGACCTTGGTGTCCTTCAAGGTCTTCAATCACTTCATCACCAGGATGACATCAATGCTTCCTAAATTTAATGGGAGAAAATCCTCCCTCACTTGAACTCTCTGTATGGTCAACACCACTCCCCTACATATCACCTGGCTCGTCTCCACCTTCCATGTACCCATCATCACTCCATAACACATTGTATCCATTAATGTCACCCCCAATTGGTCCACGACCTGGTTGGAAATGAAATTGTGGGTAGCCCCACTGTCAATTAGCACCACCACTTCCCTGTCTGTTATTTCCCCCTTCACCTTCATGGTATAATTCGGAGTTAATCTTACAACTAAGTTCAGGCAAACCTCTGTTACATCCATATGTAGCTTGTGCTCCACCTCTCTCTACCTCACTCTCACCTTCCTTAGTTTCCTCGTCATCACAGACATTGAGAACCTGAAGAGTTCGGTCCCTATACATGTGCCTGCCCTAGAGTATACTTCTCATCATATCTGAAGCATAGTTCCTTCACCCTCTTCTCCTGCATCTCACTCTTAGTTAGTCTTTTGAAGTTCTCCCCCCTCCCCACTTCCCCCTCATACTAGCTTCTCCATGGGAGTCTCACGAATGTTGCTTGATGCAGGCCCCTTAGGTGCTAGAAGGGTGGTAGTCATCCTGTAAGAGCCACCTGAACTGTTGCCTCTGGCTCCCCTCCTGGTACTTTTGATCCTCCACTAGTTTTGTCAGTCCATAGCCTCTCCCAAGTCATGAGGCCTCATGACCGCCCTCACAGCTACCCGGATATCTGATTTGAGTCCCTTCATAAAATTCCCCTATATAACAGTCTTATGATAGTCGATCCAATTGACTTACTAGGTACTTTAATCTCTCGCAATAATTTGCCACTGAATCTTCCCGCACTAGTGCAAAGAACTGCTCATAAAAGTCCCCTCCCTCGCCGGTTCAAAAACGTTCCAATAAGCATTCCTTGAACTCCCTCCAACTCCGTATGGGCCTCCTCATGTCTCTTCACTGATACTAAGACAATGCTTTCCCTTCCAAACATAAGCTAGATGCCATCAATTTTTCCTCCGTCAATCCATTGACGGGGAAATACTTTTTCACCTTGTAGATCCACCAATGTGCATCATCCCCTTAAAAAATGGGCATCTTCAATTTCCGTAGCTTTGGATATCTCCCATTTCACCTGTATCATCCATAATTTCCCCTTTCCCAAGAGTTTGGTCCTCCCCAAGTGTCACGATCCTCCTTTCCACGCTCATACACATTCCCCTCTTCACTTTCCCCTCTCCTCCCTTCAAAATCAGCACCCCTTCTACCATAATCCCCATCTTTTCTTTCCCGAGCACCCCTTGGTTCATGCCCTCCATAACCACACCTCTCTCCATACCTCCCACCTCTTTCCTCAATGATCTCCACATCTTTTTCCCTCCTACGAATTTCAGAATTTGTATTTCTTCCTACCGGACCCCTTGTCTCCGATGTCGACGTTTGATTTTGATTTTCCAATATCTTCTTAATCATCTCATGAAGATCTGAAACCTTGTCTTCCATGGATGATATTATATCCTACACTGTTGCTTTCATTTGGCTCATCTCTCCTTCAAGACGTTCCTCCAACACCCACTTTCTTGGCCGCCATCAATACCCGGATTTTTGTTGGACTCAAAAATCTGAATCTTGACCCCAAAATAGCAAAACCACACCTATTCGGGCAAAAAACAGTCATTGTATTTCACAGAAACAGCCCAAAATTTGTTCCAAGAATTGCTCTGATACCAATTTGATAGGAAATAATAGGAAAACAAGAAAATAATTACTGACGTCAGAAATTCTGCAGATTAACCAAGGAGATTTTGAGGTTTTTATTGATGAAAATACAAGAAAAACACTTTGGATTACTAGGAGATGAAAAGAAATAGCAAGATACAATTGATCCTCTATTCGAGAGGAGGATCAATCTCTTCAAAACTCTCTCGATGCCGCTAGAGCCCAAGACACCCAAGAGAACTTCAGAAATTAGTCACCAATAAAATGCCCTAACCCTAATACAAACTCCTACTTAAAGCAAATACAAAAATAACATAAAAGGACTAAACAACCCTCAATAATTAGCCCAAGGTAGTGAACCCCACCCCAAAGGGAGTGAGAATTTGCTCATGTGGTTCAACAGGCCGACGCCTGTTGTAATGTAGGAGCCGTCGGCCCACATGTTGGGCAGGCTGAACCGGTCCTAATATATGACTGCGCCAATGGAAGATAAGATTAGAGAGTCACCCTTAGATGGTTTGGTCACATAAAACGATAGACTTCTGATGACCCGGTTAGGAAAGTAGATGTATTAGATTTGACATATATTAAGAAAGGTAGATGTAAGCCTAAAAAGACTTGGTTAGAAAATATTAGAAATGATATTTCTTTATTAGATTTAAGTGAGAATTTGACTCTTAACATGATACAATAGAGAAAAATGATTCATGCAGCTGACCCTACTGTCCCACATGGTGGGATAAAGGCTTGATATTGTTGTTGTTCATCTAAAATTGTACCGATTGAACTAAAATTCAATTAAGTTTAGAAATAGTTTAATTTGCTCTTTTTTATTTATTTTTGAATCAAAATTAAGTGATTCAACTAATCCGTAAGTTGAATTGACCGAACCATTTGAATGCCACGCCTTGTATTCTACATTACTCTCCCTCTATTAGTTATTTGTGTGCATTAAATGCTCAAACCATTTCTCCCTTCTCACACCTATATGTTTGTGTTGTCATCTCAAACCAAAAGAATGAAACTGGGCGATGCATGACAGTTTCTATCCTCATGCACAACTCTGTTGGGATTATGAACAGATACATGCTGAACATTGATCAATTACTGTTGCTAGTTAAATTAGCTATATTGAGGTAATGAATTGATAGTTTACTCTTAAAATTCTACAACTTGTCACAGACTCAGCCATTGATGGCCATCAATATAGTGCTTGTCTAAGAACGGTTTTGCTTCTTCATATGTAAGTGATCTGGCCCATGGCACTCTATTACTCAAATCTGCTCCTCTTCCACTGCAGTTGAATTCTCCAAACCATACAGTGCTGCAAAATTAAACAAAATTCAGTTTCATTTAGTTTACCGACTGTTTTTTAAATTTTAATATTTCATGTGAACTTAACCTTTGCCTCGTTGAATCTTCCCAGTCATTCCAGCCCTGAGATAGAATAATGCCTTCAAGCTGACAGTAAGAATATACAATCCTTGCATACTTTCCCCAAGCTCTCCCTAAGTAGACCATCCCAGTTCCATATAGTTTACATCCTTGGAAAGAAAATCCTGAATCGTCGAACGGCGAATTCCTCTGTGAGGCGGCGATCGCTCCATAGGTTTCAGCAACTACATGAAGAGTACATTCCTGCTTTGTCGAAGTTCGGCAAAATGTGATTTTGATGAACTTTGATATGTGCATTTGATCATATAACAAAAAGGTACTTAATACCTGATACAATGACCTTGCACTCCCAAATATGAAGTCAATGGATCCTTGGATGTAACATTCATAGAAAAAATGTCTTCCTATTTGATCAAATAGTGTGTCTTGATGGCCTAATATTCGGCATCGGTAGAGCATGGCTTTGTCACCTGCAAGTCTCAGTGCCACTGCCTGCATTCCTGATGCTCCTGCCGGTGCACCTGGAGCTGTATTCTGCAGCTCAATATAAACTCACACCAGTTAGTAAATTAGATTATGGTTTTGTTTGGGATAACTTTTTTACTGCTTCTTAAAGCGGCTTCTTAGTATAAAAAATTAAACGTTTGTACTAAGAAGCTGTTTTAAAAAGCAGAAAGAAAGTCGTCCCAAAAAAAGCTTATATATACACACACATACACTTATAAGTACCTCAAAAGTTATTCCATTGGCACAGAAATAATCAGCTTCTATGGCTACAGAAGCAGAAGCTGAGGTGCCCACAGCCTGACCAGCTGAATCATAATCAGATGCTCTAAGACTCCATGAAATCACAGTTTCCCCACTTTGATTTCCAACGAAGGATATGTAAGGCTTGGTGACTGGAACAAGCACCTTCTCTCTGTACAAGTGCTGAACTTACTTATTATTCAGAGGAAGACAGAAGATACAGTAAAAATAATGAGCTTTTGCCAATTCCCAACCTTGCTAATACTGACCTATAAACTCCTGGAGATATATAGATCTTGATTCTATGCTGATTTCCTGCAGGAACCATATCTACAGCTCCTTGTACAGTCTTCGAATGCCCGGCGCCATCCTTGGAAACAAACAGGACTCCTCTTCCTCCCTCATTCATGGAATTTGAATTCTTATACTTCATATCAACTCTCAGATCATTCCATGAAATGAACTTCTGTAATCCATAAGAAAATACAGTTTGGGAGGCTAAAAACACACAGGAAATCACTAACAGTAGTGTTAAAGCTCCATAGAATGTCATGGCTTCTTCTTCCTGCAGATTCTTTGATGAAATAGAGATAAAATAGGAGGTTTTGATGGTTTAACTGAAAGTTAGTTTCAGTCAAAGAGAAATTCGAGTCAAAGCCCATAATCTGCTTGTGGTTGTTAGTGTGGGTCGTGGAGGTAACTAACCGGGAAAACATCTAATAATTGAATATTAGTGAAGTAGCTTTAATGGTTTTGTTAGGAGGGAGAAAAGTTATTAAAGAAGGTTTTGACTTTTGATAGAGGTATAAAAACAATTTAAATCCTACATAATCTTAAATCCCATATTTATTAAATCATGACATTGGATGGATGTAACTTAGAGCAGCACTCTCTTACAAACTTTACTTCTCCTTTATACCCCTTCATATGTTGTTGGTCTTTTCGATGCTCTCTGGCAAGTTCCTATAGTGACTTCCTTGGTTCTTCGTCATTTAGATTTTATGAATTTTGGGGGCAAGAATAGGAGAAAGTATCCTATGCGGAGGTCGAACGTAGAGCATTATCCGGAGACCAATCAGAATGAGCCACGTCGACGTTGTTGAATGGTATCGAGCAGTAACGAGTCGCGGTAGCGAACGAAGGGGTGACGTGGCGCATTCGGATTGGTCTCCGGACGAAGTTCGGGGTTTGCACATAATAATTAATCCAAAAAAGAGGGGTGAAAGATGAGATTTTCCATGTTTAACTCAATTGATTGTGTTGTTTTTATAAATTTGTATAATTTTCAATTATTATTTTTATTAATTGATATTAATTAAATAAAGATTGTTAATTATAAAATTAAGTTAATTTAATATTTATGATTAATGAATTATATATATATATATATATATATATATATATATATTAAACAAACTAGTAACATTATAATTAATTTGACTGAATGGAAAGTATTATGTTAATCTTAATATTTAATATTAATTAATTAGAAATATATTAATTGAAATAAATTAAAATTATTTGTGGTTTAATTTGTTCCAATATAATATAATATTTTTAATTGTGTTTAACTATTAATTAATGAATAATCTGAATATTAATGACAACGGATTATAAATTAATTAATAAAACTAGAATTGATAAAGTTTTATTGATTAAAATTGTTAATATCTAATAACTATATATAACTTATAATAATTATTAGTTCAGATATTTAATTAAAATAACTATTTTTTTCATTAAATGTTAGTTGATATATTTAATAAAAATAAGTATTATTTAAATAGTCTAATTAAAATCGATATGAGTACAGTGAAATCATCTAAATCATTAAATCCTAAAATAAATAGCCAAAGAATTTATCTAAATTTAATATCGATTATATTAAATAATTTTCCAAATTTTAACAAGCATAAGATTTAGGCTTCGTTTGGGACGGATTTTTTACTGCTTTCTAAAACAGAGTTTTAGTACAAATTTTTTATTTTTGTACTAAAACTCCATTTTAGAAAGCAATAAAAAAGCCGTCCCAAACGAAGCCTTAGTAAGTTCGGATTTATAGCATTTACTAAAGCTTCATTTGGAGGACTTTCTTTCTGCTTCTAAAGCAACTTTTTAATATAAAAATTTAAATTTTATAATGAAAAGCTGCTTATTAAACAGTAAAAAGTCGTTCCAAATAAAACCTAAGTCTTCGTTTGGGACAATTTTTTATTGCTTATTAAAGTAGTTTTTTAATGTAAAAATTTAATTTGTATACTAGAAAGCTGCTTTAAAAAACAGTAAGAAAACCTCCCAAATGAAACCTAAATCTTACTTGCAACCAAAAAGTCGCTTTGTGTGGCATTTGAATGGATTAGAATTCAAACTAAATTTGGACGTAATCATGAGCCTCATTAGTTCATTCTTGTGTGATGTTGTCATTGGACTACCATCAATGAATCACAATCATATGACATCCAACCATCAAGTAAGGTATTCAATCATCACTGTTCTGACTACAATTCTTTAATCACTATCGTCTAAATAAGATCTTTTGACCATCGAGGCTCTATTTCAATCTCCGACTACTATTAATGACTACATTCTTCTAATCATCATTTGCTTGAATACGATCTTCTAATCACTATCATCCCGCTACAAACTATTGATCATTGTTGCTCGACTATACTGATGCCCAATGGTTTTCTTATTTGCGATCATCGATATCATTAGCGCATGCCATCATTTATCAGATTGATGCATGTCTTTAACATTAAGTCTGCTCTCGACATTATTAACAAGACATATGCTAGAATTCTTAGCCTATAATTCTTCAATTAATTATTTTGTACAAATGACGAATGCTATCGGAGACCAATCAGAATGCGTCACGTCACCCCTTCGGCTAGTACTGCGGCGCGTAACGCGAACGTGGTGCATTTTTATTGGTCTCCGGAGAGCATTTTACGTCCAACCTCCGCACATAATAATTTCTCCTAATCTTCCAATGTAAATGGAGAACAACCAAACATACATTAAACAATTTTTTTTGAAGATAACTCTGAAGCCAAAAACTTTCAACAAAAAAAATTTATTAATAAGTTTATATCTATAATGATGTTAGCCATCTTTTTAATCAAAGGAGGGCACATTTATAATCAATAATAAAATATTAGTAAAACATTTAAACTTTGATTTTTTTTTCAAAAATTTATTTGAAAATATGATTATATCTTACAATTCTCTTTTATTTTGTATCATTAAAATTTTTATAAGACTATAATATTATATATTAATATATATATATATTATATATATATATATATATATATATATATATATATATATATATATAATATATATATATATATATATATATATATATATATATATATATATATCGGAGAATGATAAACCAAAATAAAAATCAGCAAAAATGGGATCGCCGTATATTGCAATGCTCAGCGTTGCACAATATTCGCAACGGCATCCATCGTGGCCTACTTATCTCTTAGAAGAAACACACCATCCGCTGAGGAATCCTGATCGTCCACGCTATCGATCCGCGTGTGTTAATCCGACGACTGTGAAAGCACTTGCTGCGACAAAAACTGCCAAAATAATTCCCCGCGGTCTGCAGTACATCCGGTTCATATGCGATGCGCGGTTCGAACCGGAGACGCCTCCGCAACCTAGAGCGAAGAGAGAGAAATGCAGAGAATCTCGTCGTCAGTCTTTCTCTCTCTTAATTGTCTGGTTCGGGGGCGAGGAGCATAAGGAAGTTGGAGGAATTAGTATTCTTTCACAAATCTCTTCTGGTAATTATCTATGTTTAATTTTTTTATTTAAATCTGTTTCTCTGCTCTATGGTTAGGGTTTCTATCTCTGATTATCTTTGGTTTTCTTTATCATCTTTTGTGGACTCAATTTGCTCTGCCTGGTTTCAGTAAGGGATTGAAGATAAGCTGAGGTTTCTTTTTGGATGGATGAGGTATGGGAGAGGGCCGTAGAGGCCAAGCTCGAGGGGCAGGCGACGCCGTCCTCGGAACTTCGAGTGCTGAACCTAGACGGAGCCGTAAAATCTCTCCATGGGTGCCTCCCACCCGCCGGGCTTCTAGAGAGATTCCCAGGCCTTGAGCATCTCTCTATCGCAAACGTCGGCGCAACTTCACTCGAGAGATTTCCCCGCCTACGTAACCTTCAGAGGCTTATCCTTTCGGATAATCGAATCGCTGGTGGGCTCGAGAGTTTGGTAGATGCTGGGTTGCAGTCGCTTCGCGATCTTGATCTATCGAACAACCGGATCCAGCACATCGAGGACCTGGCCCCACTTGCTGCGCTTCATCTGGTGTCCCTCGATCTGTACGAATGCCCGGTCACTAGGGTTAAGGATTATCGTTCGAAGGTGTTCGCGATGATCCGGACTTTGAAGTACCTGGACAAGCTTGACGCAAATGAGAACGAACGTCCGGAGAGTGATGAGGAGGAGGAAGAGGAGGATGAGGAGGAGTATGATGATGATGAGGAAGATTCTGGGAGTGGTGAGGTTGATGGTGGGGATCAGACTGGGAATCTGACCAGTGGTGCTAGAAATTCCGCTGATGGGGATGAGGGGATTGTTGATGCTGATGAGGATGAGGGGAGTGATGCCGATGAGGAGGAGATTGAGACTAACGGGAGGAGAACAGGCAGTGGATCATCTGTAGGATCTGGCCATCACCTATCTAATGGATTCAGAATGACTGCTACTGCTGCTGCATCTGTAGAAGGGGACGAGCATGATGGAGATGATGATGTGGAAGATGAGGATGATGATGATGATGAGGAGGAGGAGGATGATCTGGGGGAGGAGATTGATGAGGATGAAGCTGAGTATGAAGATGATGCAGCTGAGATGCACAATATTTTGGAGAGTGATGAGGAAGATGAAGATGGCGTTGACGAAGTGGAGATTGATGAAGAGGAGATTGATGAAGAAGATGTTGGTGATGATGAGGAGGTCGATGAAGACGATGATGACATGGGAGCTGGGGATGAGGAGGATGCTGAGCCTGCAAGTACGGGTAGGCTAGCTAGTACTGAAGGAGAAATTGATGGGCATGACCATGGTGAGGAGGATGAAAATGGGGAGATTGGAGAGGAGGATGAGCAGGGAGTAGAGGACAGGGGTGTTGAGGAGGAAGATTATGGTGAAAGTGAAGATGAGGTAATTTCTCAATTTACTGTTCTTTAGTGCATTTCTTTGCTTTATGGTTTCCATTACCTTTGAACACATTCAAGCAAAAAGAATATATGTTTTGTCACGCTTAATACCTTACATATGTTACCAGCGGTGTTCTTTGATATCCTTTTTAAGTGATTGCGAATATTTTATGCATGCTACTGTGGCTATTCCTTGACTTTTTAATAAGGTTATGCTATTACAGTGGTGCTTTGGTCAAACATATCAGCTTTATGCTTTTAATGAAATATTTTTAGTTGCTTTTATATTGAAGTTTTTTAATCCTTGCGGGTATCAATCTTCTGCTTTGAAGGTATGCATTTATTTTTCTATGTTTGAATCACTTTAAACCAGTGTACTAAGAGCATCTCCAACCGAAAATCCCATTTTTCACTCCAAAATGCAGTGAAACTAAAAAATGTCGTGACTCATCTCTAATCAAACTCCATTTTGCGCGCTTTTGCTCAGGTAATCGTCTTTTTGCTCTTTCGTGCGTTTCTTCCCCAAATCCGATTGAGATAGAAAAATCTCGTCGGTAAACAGTGTCACGCCAATATTGGCGTTGCACTGTTCACCCACAATCAAATAGCGGAAGATTTGACGTTTGGCTGGAGAGACTGAACAATGCCATAGCCATGTTTGGGGTTCGGTTGGAGATGCTCTAAACATCATAAGCAATATGCCATTTCGGTTTTAGCTGCGACTTTTTTTATATATGATTCTAATATTGCTGGCTTAATTTTAATGCTTGTTTGGAGAAAAAAATACTCGGGATATTCTGAACTAAATTTAGTTAAGATGAGTGCAATAAGTAGCTAGTCAATTAAAATTTATATTGCATCATCTCAAAACAAAATTGAGCTGGGATATTCTACCCAAAAAATTTAATGTTTATTTGCAATCAATAAAATATGTTTCGTTTGTTGATGCTTGAGCTATTTATGTTATGCTTTATCATCAGACTTTGTTGTGTTATAATTGGAGAATTGACTTGTACTTATAAAGAATCTCAAGTATTCTGGCATTTATTTAATTTCCTTATCCACAATATTTTCATCTCGCCTTTAAGTTTTTCTCATAAAGAAAATGGTATAGTAAAATGCAAATATGCGTCAGTATTTCTTGCCATATGTTTCTTTGGAACTGATTTTTGATTTTTAAGTTGCTTTCTATACTTCTTAGCTTTGTAATCTTAATTAACTCTTAAGTTCATTGCCAGATTGATTCCTGGATATTATGGAAATCATTAGTGTTTTTAAAGTCTTCTAATTTATTCCCACGTAGTACTCTGCGACAGCATGTACTTATCAGTGTGTATAAATTGTCCTGCATCCGAATTTTTATTAGTTATTTATTATTCTGCTTGTATGTGCGTGCATCTTAATGAGTTCATTTATTATCTTCGCAAGAAATAAGGATTTCTTTTTGTCTGTATTCATGAGAAAAAAACTTAAATTGAGATGCACGCACATCAGAACCAACGTTTCTTAAGATCTCATCATTGATTTAGCTATTTCATTCGGAGAAAATCATTTTTTGTTCATTGTGAAACCCCTCAAGTATAATGAAGTTGACCTATAAGTTAGACTAAGAGGAAAAAATCATAAGGCCTAATGCAGAAGCAGATAAAACATCTATGGTTGAAAGTTTAGACTTTCACATTTGTAATGGAAGCAGTTTTTTCACTCAGTGTTTTGGCAGGCGAGTGAATTTATCTTGAAAGTAAAACTGTCTCAGTTTTCTGTCTCTTTAAACAAATTTTATGAGCGATGCTAAGATATTTTGTCAAGCTTTTGTTAGGATGATCTGGACGGCGAGTATCTGGTTCAGCCTATCGCTAGATCAAGCTGGCCTGATTCCAGTGTTGCTAACGAAGAAGATGAGATTGATTACGAAGATGAGAACCACCGCCCAAGCCATGGCACTCTGAATCAGTCTTCCTCTTCTTCTGATGCCAACAAGAGGAACAGAGATGAACAAGGCCACCACCTTGATAATGATAAAACAGAGGAACGAAGACCTTCAAAGCGACGCTGATGAATCGAAAGAGCAGCCATGTAAATTTTATCTTTGATGTCTGTCGTTGTTTTTCATCCTCTCGTATAGATTTATGTAATTTCATAAAACTTTATAGTTTTGAAAGAAGGTTTGGGAGGGAAGGGAAGGGGAGGATATAGCCGTTTTCCTTCAAATTTGAAAGTTTGTTGGTGACTAGGTCCGCACATGTTTCCTCTATTTGCCCGTTGGTTTCTTTTTTTCAAATGACAGTTATACCTGTACTTATTTCTTGCAGCTCAAAAATCACTCAACAGCTTATTATTTATCAACGCAGCACTTGATAAATATTTGTTGGGCCTTTGGGCTCTCTTCGTGAGGTCCATGTTTTCAATTTTAAAATCACTTTTGCTTCAGCTTTTCTCTGCTGTGAGGATCTGCGAACGGGAGAGATTAGTATAATCTAATCTCTTATGTTAATGGCCATCGAAGGATCAGTTGAAATAACTTTATTCATTTAAAACTAAATAATTTTTTTGATTATTTAGAATTTTAATGGATTAAAGTACATGTCGCTCACAAAATAAAGTTATTTAACAGGTTAACAATATCAATTTCTAAGGTTATGCTGTTTTGCATGCTGAAATTTCAGATAAAATAAATAAAAGGTTATTACTTATTATAAAGAAAAATTCACAATCTATATGAAATTTATTTTCTTAAAATTTTTTATTATTTTTCTCAGAAGTAAAAATTAAATACTAACAAGCCATTCCATTTAAGGCCGCATTCTTTTTCAACTAACCAGCGAAATACAATTCCCATTGTGTAGTAGGCCCACTTGCCTATTACTTAATTGGAAGCCCATGGGCTACATGTCCATGCTCTGGCGGTCCATTTATCGCGACAATAATTGATTCTCCACCGCACACCTGTAAAGCTCTGATTCCCAATCTATTTGCAGGAATTGGGATAAGGCTCTGCTTCCACATCCCAAAGCCGGAGGAGTAACTCAATCATGGCGTCTTTGTCAGCTCGGTGGATCTCTCCCGCTTCAAATCCTCAGTTCCACCACACCGCGCCAGCCAGACGGCGCTCTGTGGCCTCACTCATATGCAAGGCCAAGGACGCCGGCGGTGACGGCGGAGGCAGTGCTGGGACGGTGGAGATCGCAGCGGCGGCTGGCGCCCTTATTGCGAACCCAGTTATCGGAATCTCCCTCTATGTTCTGAAGACGACTGGCTGCGGGCTCCCTCCGGGCCCGGGCGGGGCGCTAGGCGCCTTGGAAGGAGTGAGCTACCTGGTAGTTGCGGGCATAGTGGTCTGGTCGCTCTATACGAAGGCTCAAACCGGGTCGGGCCTGCCCAGCGGCCCGTTCGGGCTGCTTGGAGCAGCGGAAGGTCTGTCGTATCTCTCTGTCCTTGCAATAATAGTAGTCTTCGGTTTGCAGTTTCTGGAGCGGGGATACCTTCCGGGCCCCTTACCTGGTGATCAGTGCTTTGGCTAAGATTTTGATTTTTGTTTGCAATATTATTATTCATGACGCAAGTCAAATACAGTTCTTGATATAGATTATATTTTGAGCCGTAGTTTAGACGTTCATTTTAATACTTGGGCGTGGTCTGAGGGAATGATAGACAGGGCTGATAATTTCGGGTCACGGGCCGTTTGGGTTGAACTCGAAACTGACCTGACATTATTCGAATTAATCCGAACCCAACTGCTTCGTGTTTGGATCAACCCGACATGACTCGAATGATTTGGGGTTGTGAAAAGATTGCTAGTTTTGGGGTTAAAAAACAGGTCAATACCTGCTTTTTGAGTAAAAAACATGTCATTCTTGGGTTTCTGTGTCAAAAATGGGTTTACGGATAAAAAACATGTCAATTTGGGTCAAAGAGTCAACCCAAAACTGGCCCGATTTTTTAAAGTTTTAATTGTTGAGCTTGAACTCGACTCATTTCGGTTCCGGGTTGACCCTAAACCGGAATTTTCAGCCCGATCAAGATAACTTTTTGACCTTTTTTTAATATTTAGGCCCACTAAGCTTTTGTTTGGGACGACTTTTTTATTGTTTCTTAATACAGTTTTTTTGTAAAAAAATTTTGATTTGTATATTAAAAGTTGTTTTAAGAAGCAAGAAGATAGCCATCCCAAACTAATCCTAACACAAATTCATACGCACATTATATATGCAAGATTTAAACTCAAAATCTCTTCATTTGTAATAAAAAATCTCAAAAGATAGATTAAGGTGCGAGGCTGGCTTCATAATTTTGTCCATCTATTTTGAGCAAATTGAGACCTGACATGTGGCTTCTAAATATCCCATGCCGTAAGGTGATGATAGGATTCATTTTTCCCCCTTCTAAGCATAATTCGTCGTGCAATTGCTGAGACAATTCATGCCAAGGACAGTAGCTGAGAGCAATTGCGAGAATAGGAAATTTGGCGACATATCCTGATGTTTTATATGGAAACATTTGCTCTTTGTGATGATGATAAGCCGCAAGTATTTCTCACAATGCGTGCGATCAGTGGATGCCGTCTAAAAATTAATCAAGAAGCGCCACATCACCAATACGTTGTTCATCATTACTGTGTATCGTTGTGTATCAGGTAACGTGACAGGTTCTGATTGGCCTCCGGATGATCCTGACCGCCGTAACAATCTCTCATTGCTTTGACCCCATTAGTGCATTACATGCATATCATTGTTGTCCTCATTATTAGAACATATATTAATGCTAAATTAAATATATTTTTTAATTATTTCATGATCAATGAAGCAATATTGGAAAATCAAAATGGGATTTACATGCATAACATTAAATACTTAACATTATATATATAAGTTTTAACCTTTACTTTTATAATTCTATAATGCCTAAATTATATCAGAATATATGCATGAAAACATCTATTTTAGATTCAGTACGTTAATATTAATTATATTTTTATATGATTTAGAGATTATGATCTTATATAAATTAATAAATACTTATAATCGAACAATCCTTCAAGCAACTTTATACACTGTAGTTTTGAAAACTAAGAATAATTTATCTAAATATTCTTATATAATTTATATCAAAATCGACTAAAAATTATTATATTTAATTTAAAATTAGGGTATTACAAAGTCCTTTTTTATAATACTAAAATTAAAAAAATTAATAATTTTAAAGCTCATATAATATGTATCATCATATGTGACAAATTTTTATTCTTTAAAAACATGGAAAGTCGAATATTCCGCAAAATCAGCGAATATTCATTCATTATTCTGATAATTTAAAAAACCATTTTCAAAGTTAACAACACTTCGAAAAAATGGTAATTAGCGGGAGATTATTAGCGATAATGGTATATATAAATCTCCCGCTGCGCTGCGCTGCGAAGCATCTCTGCAAGCAAGAACCAAATTCCCAACGCCTTTCTCCTAACTTGTTTCCTCTAGCACAAGAATCCTCAACATGACTGCTTCCGCCGGTGATGCCGGCTGGGTTCACGATGCCGATTGGGGCCTTACCTCCGCTGCCGCCGATGCCGATGTCCTCACCGTTGACGGAGACTGGGTCCTCACCGACGGCCCTTGTTCTCCTCGGCGATACCGTCTCACCGGCTTCTTCCTCGTTAGCAGCGGTCCCCACATCTACGTTCCATTACTCCAGTCATCCGATGCATCCCGCGCTGGCGATCTTATCTCCTCCGTTCCTATCTCCGCTTCCATCTGCGCCTCAACGCAAGGTATCGTCCTAGCCCGCGCCCCCTGGTCTTCATATTACATTTCGACACCAATCTCTCCCAAATGGACACGAATACCTCATCCCATGTACTCCCATCCGATCACCATTCCGGTTGCAATCGTCGCCTCCGGCGACGATGGCCACGGAGATGGGTTTCTCATCATCTGCGCCGTTCCGTTGGCAGATGGCCCCCAAGGGTTTTATCGCTTCGATATCTACGAATCCTCCACTGGAAAATGGAGGACCGGTCCCGATCGCTTCCCCACGGGGGAGATCCTTCCATCCTCCGGCGTGTCCTGCGGTAGTGCAGTCTATTTCCGAACGGAAACGCCGTCTGTAGTTTCTTACGATGATGCAGCCGGTGTCGCTAGGGTTTTGCCTCCGCCACCGAGGTGTTGGGGTTCAGAGCTACAATGGGAGCTCGCGGAGGCAAATGGCCGGCTCTGGTGTGTGTGCGTGAGGGGGAGGGTAGTCGAGGTGTACCAACTGGGGGAGAGAGATCAGTGGACCATGGTAGGGCAGTCGGACGCGATTGATTGCAGTGACCCGCCGCGGCCGCTGCGAGCGCAAAGTGCCGGTCTTGGGGTTGTGCTCTGGACGAATGGGAGGCTAGGTCGGTGGGATTTGGAGCACGGAAGAGCGATCCAGTTATGGTTCGGCGAGGCTGCGCCGCCGCCGGGAAGCTGTGCTCAGTACGTGCCGTACTGTGCTGAGCTGGAGCTCCGTCGATGATGCCGTTTGCAAAAGGTTGGTGTGAATATGCTGTCGGTAGTGGATGCAGGGGATTGATGTGAACAGTTAGTGGGATTCGATTCATTCAGTAATAGGATTCAAGCGGTTTAGAGTAAATGCTCTGATCTATCATCGTCATTTTAAAGAGAAAGAAAAGAAAAAAAAAAAAAAAAAATTTGCATAGCTTCTTTTAATAACTGGTTCATTGATCATGAAGTTTATATCTGGTTACGATTTTGCGTCTCTTCTGGTTGATTTTGCTCATTTGCTGTGCGGTGCTTCTCAATTAATGATCTGTTTGATTGAATTTTTTTTTTTTTGATAGATCAGATTGCTGTTATATGGTCTTTAATGAATCACTTCTACAACCTAAATTTTAAGTACAATTTTAATAATGGGATAGGCAGATTTCACCGCACGGTTTGCAGAACCATTAATGTTATTTTTTAAAGATCTACTGATCAAATTGTTAGGGTATGTTTGTTTGATCGAACAGACTGAAAAGCAAATATATTTTAATTATAGTTTTATTTGATTTTAGTATAATTAATAGATAATTAGGTTTACTTATAAATTATGGTTGAGAATATCTATTATTTACTGATAAATTTTTATCCTAATTTCATAAAAAATGAGAATAAAATGTTGTTGGGTGATAAGGAAAGAAACTGTGATTTTTTTTTTCCAAAAAGTAATGAGACAATGAATTGTATCATTGGCTCGGTCTCTAATCCTATGAATTATTATGCTAAAGGAAAATAAATAAATTAGTGAATATCGACTAATAAAAATTTATCATAAAATAAAATATCACTTATGACTCTTAAATATGTATGAAGGCTTTCCAAATATGTGAGAACACCAACATGAAGTAATTGGTCAACTTTTTTTTTTTTGTTGGAGTTTTGGCAAGTTATTTTGCTAAAAGTTTTGAGAGACTTGTCTAGTCTAGTAATTGTGGCCAAGTTAATGGATCAGCTGCTTCAAGGTTTTTTGGGCTTCATTAATCTTGGTTCGACTAAACCTTGTCGGTGACTCATCATGAAATGGTGGCCGTTTCGGAATGAATTTGGGATCAATCGAACATATTTTCTTAGTGAATTCGAGCTGCATATTCATGATTTACACTATTCTTAGTCTTCGTGTTAAGAAAATTTTCAAATCTATTGAAGGCTATGTAAAATTAGACAATATTTGAAGGTGATATTTGTTTAAATATTGTATATTTTGATTGTTTTAGGCAGTACTATTCTAAGTAATATTGGTATTTTCTTATGACATAATTTAGATAGAGAGAGTTGAAAATATGTGAAGTTGGCTGAAAAAAATTGTATTTCTCGATCAAATATCAAATTAACAACGCAACCATGAAATTGGTACAACTTTCTTGAATATTCTAAGCATTTCTTGCGGGACACAAATTCTCACTTTCCTTTTCCTTTTGTTTGGGATTGAATTCAAAATATTTTAGAGGCATTAAAACAAGATAAGATAAGCTTATTCTCAAATCTCAACTGCCCAAAATAGAATAGATTGCTGAAATAAAAGTTTGGAAATTATTTCTAAAGCCTTATAGAAGTTTGACTATTTTAAGATTTTGTTTGAGATAACTTTATTATCACTTTTAAAACAGTTTTTAAGTACAAAAATTTTGAGTTCAAGAAATTTTTATACTGAAAAGCTGCTTTTGAAAATATTAAAAAAAATTTCCCAAACAAAATCTTAATCTAGATTTCATTACTCAATATTAATAATCTATGAGATGTTAAGTATAGAGCCTATTTTTTTTTTTTTAAATTAATTTATAATGGAATTTGATCTTAATTTTTTAACATTGATGCCTACAATTGAGTTTTAATTAGTGAAAATCTCAAAACCCTAAATAGAGACTATCTGGAAAAAATAAATAAATAAAGGTTAGTAGAAGTCCTAAATGGTGGATTCTTAATTTTTTTTTTTTTTTCATTTACAACTATATGGCCTTGATCGGTCTGTCACCTTGAATAGACCAACTCAATTTCGTAAATGAATTTTACAGGGTCCAAATTAATGGGCTTCAATGGCTCATTTGATTAGCAGTTAGTGATGACAATAAATTGCCCGACTTGTCGAGCCAACTCAGATCAAGCCGAAAAATTTATGTTTAGTTTGCCCATTTTATAATTGGGTTGGGTTCAAATCTGAAATTCCAACTGCTAAGAAAAAGGATTTGGTTCGGTTTATATCCACGATTCCATTTTTTAACCCGAAAGTGATCTATGTAATTTTTTTGTTAAATTTCTTTGCTTGTTGATATGATATTCTAAATGTTGATCAATTAATGAATTAATCTAAATTTTATACTTTATGTTATAATTGAAAAACAAAAATCACATCAGTTATTCATCTGGCTCGGATCATTAGGGTTGTTAACTAACTGAATTTAGATCTCTATTTTGACCCATTTATTAGCCGAGTTTGATTAATGTTGATTAGAATCGGTTGAAACAATTTCGAGACGAACCCAATCCCAAAAATCAAATCATTTTGGCACCGTATTAGCAGAAGCATCATCATCATAATAAATCGATCATATGTAATTTGATGTTATTGTATTAAAGCCTATCAATATAATGTATAATATTTTATTTTTATTTGTTATTATTCCTATACGTTATGCTTGTAGTAATAGCTACCCTCTTATCAATTTCTAATTTTTACTCTGCACTTTTTGGTTGGAAATAAAATGGCAAGTGATTTTAAAAGTTTGATGTTTTGTTGGATGAAAAAAGAAATGAAAAGTATAGTAAATATAGCGATAAATAATTTAGCTCATTTTTGAGGTAAACGGTTCTTACATGTTTACACTGCAAGCAAGTATGACCGTCCATCGCCATGGGCTGTCGGCCACCACCTTCGCCACTGATTGCCACCTACCACCAAAGTTACCCACCTCCAGACGTCGTCCACCACCACCGTCACCCTTCGACCACCACCTACAACTGACCAACGCCGTCACCACCCATCAGTCACCACCATCTTTACTTTGTATTACATTCTTTTTACTTCAAATCAAACAAAAAAATCATTAACACAAATTTAATTTACACTCATCCAAATAGCTTCATGATATCTCTTTTATGTTGTACTTCTTCTATGCAACATTCTTTTAATATTGCATTTTTTAAACTAATCAAACATACCCACTTTTAAATTATTTTATGCTTAACTGTCCGGCTTGCGTGGGCCTTAAGAATATGGCCTGCTAGGCGTCATTTGGGCCGTTCAAATGAGCCTTTGCAGTATCCCCAGCTAGGCTATCTTTTACATCTATATATTTTTATAAAAAACAAAACGGCTAAAATAAAGGCCATATAAACGAATAGCGATCCATACAATATAAATTAATCTCATTCAGCCCAGAAGACATCTTAATCAGAATAAATAAAACTAAAAAGTTTTTGTAATGCAATGTAAGTTATTTTCATTATTAAAATTATATAAAAAAATATTTTCTTTAATTGGAAATCAAATCATTAATAAGAGTAAACATTTTAGATATCATTGATCTATTGTTCAGAGTGATGGTGAAATAGATGGGGATATTCTCAGCAGAATTCGAGTTGGATGGTTCAAGTGGAGGAATGCATCGGGCTTGTTGTGTGATAGAAAAGTACCCCTCAAACATAAGGGAAAATTCTATAAGATGGTAGTGAGGCCTGCAATGCTTTATGGTGCTGAATGTTGCCCATTAAAAGAGAAGCATAATACTAAGTTAAGTGTGGCAGAGATGAGGATGCTCAAGTGGATGAGTGGCTTTACCCTTAGAGATAAGATACGAAATGAGCATATAAGTGAAAAGGTTGGAGTAGCTCCAGTAGAAGATAAGATTAGAGAGAGTCGACTTAGATGGTTTGGTCACATAAAACGGCGGTCTTCCAATGACCCGGTTAGGAGAGTAGAGGTATTAGATTTGACTTATGTTAAGAAAGGTAGTGCAAACCTAAAAAGACTTCGTTAGAAAATATTAGTAATGACCTTTCTTTATTAGATTTAAACAAGAATCTGACCTTTAATATGACACAATGGAGAAAAATGATTCATATAGCCGACCCCATGTAATGGGATAAAGGCTTGATCTTGTTGTTGTTGTTGTTGTTGAGCAATATGAATGTTTGGTCATATAGGAGTTATTAATTAGTGATAAAAATTTACCAAACTGTAAATAAATTTGATACGGCATCACAAAATTATCTTGATCGGGCACGAATCTCGAGGCAAAAGCTAGTTGGAAACTTCAAAAATTAATTTTGGGCACACCCGAACTCTGATTTCAGCGAGGTTACAGTCAAACTGAGTGTCTCGGAAATACGAACCCAACGACACCAAGATCAACCCAATCCGAGCCCAAATGAGTCCGAATCAAGGGCTCAAAGCGCTGTTGGAAGGTTCAAACTGCAATTTGAGTTACCAAACGATCTCCAATTAAATTATCTTGCAAATTTTGTTTTTAAGAGTTGGGTAGGTTTCAAAAACATAATTGCTAAATAAATTAAAAAACAAAAAATAAAAATGTAATTTTTAAGTTGATTTTTTTATTAAAATTTGCTCTCCTATCATTTAAGCTTTTTTTTTTTAGGACAACTTTCTTACTAGCTTCTTAAGTAGCTTTTTGTTACAAAAAAATTTGAATTTAAATTTTTTGTAATAAAAATCCTCTTTAGAAATTAATAAGAAAGTTGTCCTAAGTCCCAACCAAAGCCTTAGAGATTTTTTTTTTAAAATTTACATATTTAATGCTTAAATTTTTATTTTTAAAGTTTATTCTCATAACATCATACCATCTTCATCATGTCAAAATATATGCATGATATGATATTTTGTATTAATATTTATCTTACTTTAGCTTGGTCTTCTTAATACAATTATAAGTCCCTCAAGCTTATATACTCAGACGTATGGGCATCCTCCCCAATTGCCTCACCCTAAGGATTTAAATAGCAGGATAATATCTGTGAAATATGAACATGAAACTATTCATAAATTAATTTATTTCAAACAAATGGTTGAATGACAACTCAATGTCTCAATTAATATATTTAGGTCTAATGAGGGTGGCAGATACACAAGTAATGTTTTTGAAATTCTTTTAACAGAATGTGAAAACTGTAATAGTCAGTTATCCAAATATACTTGAACAAAATAACATCGTACGGCACAATTCTTGCCAAAGTATTTAGATACTTTGCACACGTACG